ATTTCTTCAGGATCCAACTGTAGAGTGGTTGGTGGAAGTTGGGGGAGCCACAGTCAAATTACAACAAACTAATATGTTAGGGACAGAGTATACGAGAGATCAAGATATAGAAAGAGCAAGAGAGAGATATGTGTGTGTGTGATAGATAGATAGATAGCTAGATAGATAGATATATATATATATATATATATATATATAGAGAGAGAGAGAGAGAGAGAGAGAGTCATGTGAGTAGGAAGAAGGAGAGTCACGGTCTCGTCACCTAAGACCCCCATGCCTCACTTACATACTTTTATATTAATACTAAAAGGTCCGAAGTACAAAACTGCCCTTAAGGTAAGAAAACAAATAAGAACTCGAATACAAGAGAAAATAAATAAGAAGTTAGTTATTCACAACTCTCCCCTCAAGCTAGTGCAGAGATATCTGTCATACCCAACTTGCTTAAGATCATTTGTAGTTGAGGTTTCCCAACAGCCTGGGTAAGAATGTCTGTTAATTGGTCTTCTGTGTCAACATATGGAAGACAAATTTCCTTGGTAGCAACCTTTCTTGAATAAAATGCCAATCTACTTCTATATGCTTAGTACTATCATGCTGAATCGGATCATGAGCTATGCTAATTGTGGCCTTGTTATCACAATGCGAGGAATTGACCCTTTCATGGGAAAACCAAGTTAAGGACTTTTAGTCATGGCAATTCACATGGACCATGAGCATAAATAACTCTGTCATGGCTGGTCCTAAAACGGTCATGCTAGTCCCAAGCGTGGATAAGGGATGAGGGTTGTGTTAGGTAGGGTAGCTAGCATAAAATTTTGCCACTTTTTTCATAAATCTTGAACCTATGGCGGAATATGATTCGTGTAGCCGAAACCAAATAATTGGGATAAGACTCGGATGATGATGATGAATTCTCATGGACCATGAGCCATGGATCTATATGCAGCTTCTGCACTTGATCTTGCTACAATTAACTGCTTTTTACCCTCTTAGTTATAAGTTTCCCTCCAACAAAACTGCGATACCTTGATGTCAATCTTCGATCTATAATAGAACCAGCCTAGTCTGCAATTGTAGAGGCCTCAACTCATAAGTGACCATGATTAGTAAACAATAGTCCTCTTCCCAGTGGTGATTTTGGATACTGGGGAACTTTGACAACAACCTCAAGGTGGACAGTTCATTGAGAATGCGTAAGCTGACTGATCACACTCAGAACGTATGTAATGTCTGGGCGTGTAAGTTAAGGTATATAAGTTGATCCAGGAATCTCTAAAACATACCCTTGGTCATCAAGCTTGTGATTTTGTCTTATAGGTGTGTCAGCTGGTTTAGTCCCAAGCTTTCCTCTTTCCTTAAGGAGGTCCAATATGTACTTCCTTAAGGAGGTCCAATATGATTTCAAGTTCTCTCATTAGAAAATTCTTAAGTTGTTGAATTTCCTTAGGACATTTACATATTACAAAAATGTCATCCACATATACAATTAGGTCAGTGGTCATGGTCTTGGTATGTTTGATGAGTAAGGTATAGTCAGCTTGATTGTTTGAACATCACTTAACCTCTCAAACCAAGCTTGAGGAGGCTACTTTAGTCCTTAGATGGCCTTTCTGTCTACATACTTTTCCTTCAAATCCAAGGGCATGAAATCTAGGTGGAGTTACCATGTACACTTCTTGTAATTCCCCATAAAAGGATGCATCTTTGACATCCAATTGATGCAAAGGCTACTGCAAGTTAGCTCCCAAAGACAAAAGTACCCCAAGGGAATTCATCTTAGCCTTAAGGGCAAATGTTTCTTGGTAGTTTGTTCCATTGGTTTGAGTAAACTGCTTGGCAACTAATCTCTCCTTGTATCTGTGAAAGGACCATCAATGTTGTGCTTCATAGAGTAGACCCATTTGTAGCTGACTAACTTCTTCCCTTCGAGAGGGTTTGCTAGTTGCCAAGTGTACCCCATTCTTAAGTGATACCGTCATCTCTCCTCACACATAGTCTCCTTCCACCTGGGATGAGCTGAAGCCTTTGCATTACTAGAAGGAATAGAAGCAAAAGACAGAGAGGATAAAAAAGCATAGTGGGAAGGAGACAATGACTCGTATCATCATCATCATCATCATCATTTTAGCCTTTCCCCAATTAATTGGGATTGGCTACATGAATCCTGGTTCTCCATATCAGGATCCATGATGGGTTTTGGTAAAATTTTATGTTGGCTGCCTACCTAACACAACCATGCCCCTTTACCTAGGCGTGGGATGGGTTAAGGGAAAGTTTAAGGTCATCACCCTTCTTAGACCATAAGGACTCATAAGAAACAAAATTGCTAATTGAGTAAGTAGCTGCATTTACCTTTCCGTAAAAATTGCTAATTGAGCAAGTAGCTGCATTTACCTTTCCGTACAACAATGGGGTGATCCTATTGTAAAGAGATTGTGCATAATCAGGAGGAAGGAACTGCTGTAGTATCTTTTCCCATTCAATGTTAGCTTTCCCATTCACAATCTTATCTCTTGGTCCATACTTCTGTATGGCTAATTGATCTTGGATAGGGAATTGTAGCCCAACCTTGAACCCTTTGCTGCTCAGATGCATTCAACTCCACTTGGCTAGAAAGTTGGAGATATTATTTTGTGTAACTTTGTGCATAATCAGGAGGAAGGAACTGCTGTAGTAAACATTCTTCATCTTTTTCCATGTTCAATGTTAGCTTTCCCATTCACATCTTATGTCTTGTTCTTGATCCCACTTCCCACCCGCAAGTAACATAGCTTTTGATGGTCACCACCTTCACTTATTCTTTCATTTGCAAAATCTTTCCAATGAAAAAATATTTCTACAGAAGCCAACCGATCTAGGAATTCATCGAGGTGTTGTCACCTGTGAATTTTTGAAAATCTCTACTTTGATGCCATATTCATTCTATTGGTCACTATACACAGTTTGTGAACCTTGATTATCATTCTCTCTCCCCGGAAGTGGATTCACATCTGGTTCTTGCTCATCGTTAAATCATCATCTTGTTCTTTACCATTCCCTGGCATCTATCGCTGCATTACAACTTGAATCAGTTGATCTGGCCATTGGGTGAATTTTTGGAATGCAACCTCCCAATCCATAGTTCCCGAGCATCAGTCTTCCTCGACCTGGAGCTGCTATCAAGATATAGCCCTTTGATCGGACTGCTTTGATACCATATAATGTTGGCAAAAATAGAGAATGCAGAAAGTTATATATAGGAGAAAACAAACAGCAACCCACATACCAATCAAATAGCTAGAGAGAGAAATCAACGGTAACAATTGGAAAGATGGGGTGCATGCAGCACAAGCCTCCCAAGCTTTCAAGTTCTTGAAGTTCTAAAATTTAAACAAAGATCGAAAAATGAAAATCCAGGAAACTCCTCACTATAATCCTCAAAGTTTTAAACCTTAATGACAATAAAAATTTGAAATTGCCATTCTATCCCAATCTATTGAGAAAAAAAAGGCACTGAAGGAGTAGTAGCTTTTGATCCATGGTCGGATAGACATGCTGTAAAAGGCGAAACTCATCAGTGTAAGGTGGAGAGTCAATATACTACCTTGGCATGACCATCTGCATGGTCACGCATTTGCCCAAGGTTGGCTGTAAATTAGGCTACTTAGGTTAGGGGGATCTTCAATGTTTTCCATAGTTACAAATTTTCTGGTCAGTATACAATAGCGTTGCAATCTTCATCAGGTGTAATAATGTTATTATTCTTCAAATCTAATATTCTGGAGCCGTTCCTAAATTGTACGACTCATATTAATATGATTTACTTTACTGTGCCAGCACACCCTAAGAAATTTAATTGTTTTAAATCCACTTAATCATGCCAGACTGCAATTTCCATGCACATGGAAACATGAAATGAGATAAAGAATTTGGATGTATCATGATAAGGTTTTATATGCATGTTCAAAGATCAAGGAGGGCAAAGGCATGTCCATAAGCGATCCTAACCAAGTATGATATATAGCTTTAAGAGCTCATGAACGTAATGCTCTGAAGAGGTGTTAGATGGAAAATAAATATTTGATTATTCATTATATCAGTGGACCGTCAGCTTAACTCAATGTAGCAATAGGTGGAAAGAATAGGGGCTTCTAACCAATTGGACATATTCTCTGTGTCCCCAAAATGTTAGAATTCTGCAATCAATGGACCATGCTAGTTATTAGTCATTGGGTCTGTTCTTAGTGGGTTGTTAGTTCATATCCCAGGGACTCCGGTTTATCATGTTAGATGTAGTATTTGCTATACATGCTGTGCATGATAAATTGCTCGAATTGGTGTTCTAAAGACGGCTTAATTGCTAAATGAGAGGTTATCACTTAAGGTAGGTAAGGAATGTGATCAGATTGTCCTGCTTCTTATATGTATGGGATAACTTGTAAATGTGCCTTTTCATATTTCATCTTGCATGTAAAGCCATGTGTGAGTTGTCTGGCTTTCCAAGTTCACAGTCCCCATGTATAATCAATCATACAGTGTCCGGAACCATTGCCATTCTTTTGGAGCAATGGGGTTTCTGACGGGTGTTTGGTGGACTGCATATTTGCTGGAGAATTCAGGCCTATTCATTATGCTTTGAATTTGTAAAATTTTATCCTCATTTGCTGCATGAAGTTTTAACTTTCATGGTTTTGTCAGTTGCCTTGTCCTTGTTTCAAATGTACTATGATCTTGGGAGACCGACCCATGAAACCAAATGCGCGCTTGATTTTCGTTTGTACAATATCTTGTTATTGTACTGAATCTTGACAAGGGAACGTTCTTTCTACAACTATGTAAATTTTGCTTTGCAGTTTTAGCATGATATTTGCCAGAAATTACTTGGGAAACTGGCCTGGATTGGGCTAACGGAAGTCATTGAAATTAGAGTTCCTATTCTGAATGATATGAAATTTCTGACTTGAGATGCTGATGGGAATTTTGAAGCCTTGCGTATTTATGTTGCTTACTTATTGCAGATGAGTGGAGATGTTGGAATATCAGCATTTCCTGAAGGCGAGAACATTTTCTCTTGGATTGGTACCATCAAGGGTGGCAATGGGACTTGCTATCAAGGATTATCTTACAAGCTCTCTTTGCGTTTTCCACTAGACTACCCCTTTAAGCCACCGCTGGTTAAGTTTGAGACAATGTGTTTTCATCCAAATGTGGACCAGTATGGCAACATATGTTTGGACATTTTCCAGGTACCTGATTTTGAATAACCACGTGTCGACCATCTCAGATGACCCAATTTATTTAAGGACACGGTTTCTATGCGGCCAGCCTGCATATTGTAGAAATGCGGGCTTGGCAACAAATATATTTTTTAAATATAGCTTGATCCTAATTTTTAGAGAATATATAATCTTTCACATGGAGATCATGAATATGAAAAAAAGAAAATAATAATTATATTAAAAAAACATTTGGACCGTTAGTTACTCTTATTTTTAGATGGACCACCTATTTGCATCCATCTTAAGAAGGATGCTTTATGCCTTTGGACCGCATACTGTAGAAATGCTGTCCAGTCCGCATGAAACAATTTTCCTTTATTTAATGATCTCGCAAATGCTATAGAGTTTGTCTCATACATGTTTCTCTTTCCTCTCTCTTTAACAGGACAAGTGGTCTTCGGCTTATGATTGCAGAACCATTCTTTTGTCAATCCAGAGCCTTCTGGGAGGTCTGTTAGACATGCCTTATGCTCACAATATCCACCCTCTTACTCGTTTGTACAGCATTTTCTTTGTGGGCCTTATCTCATTTTATGTCATTTCGTGAGTTTGGTTGTTGAATAACAGAACCAAATACGGAGAGTCCCCTCAACAGCTATGCCGCTGGACTGTGGAGCAATCAAGAGGGTGGGTTATGGCCTCTATGTTTGTGTATTGTTGAATAGGACGGATGGGGATGGCCAAAGCACATCCAGTTAGCTATAATTCTGTTTTTTATAGTAGATGTTCTAGTAGAAAGTAAGGAATAGTTGGTGACCATCGGACCCTTCTGACCTTGAAATTTGTGTAGAGGCAATTGAAATTCTTACCACAAAGTAGCCTCAAATCAATGTTGGGCAGGAAAACGATTGTTGACCCTACCTATATATTCTTTAGGAAAATTTTACTAGATCACTCCCTTTATTTGTTTAAACCTATATACCGTTGGCTACTGAATTTCTTCTGTTTTTGTAGAGTACAAGAGAGTGGTGCACAAGCAGTATATTGCTGAAGGAGGAATCATTGAAACCTGAATTGCGAGTCTCTCTCTCTATCTCTCTCTCATTGCACGTATTTTCATCCTTGTATGCTGAGCCTGCGGTAAACATATTTTCTCATCTATGGCGAAGCTCATGTATAATCTGGTACATTGCCTGAACTCTCTTGGAGCTCCACTTGCAGAACACTGAATATTGAGGCCAACGTTTGGACTTGAAACTCCATTATTGTTATACACTGGAGTGTCATTTGTTATCAATGACCGTTGCTTGAATCTTGACGTTCCATTCTGGGATGTTTGGTACTTGGCAATTAACCTGTTGAATCTTGACGTTCCATTCTGGGATAACAAAATTGCGTCATTTTCATTGAAGTATAGTCTAGGATAGGAATCTGATAACGTGTTGTAATTCAATTTCCATTAACAACATTTGTGCCCTCCCCAACAACATTCGTGCCCTCAGGTACGGGATTTGCATTCCGCCCACCCACTGAACCAAGAAAATTATTCAGCAATGGAGGGATCATTCGACTGCACATCCTTTTACCAAAATCTTGAATAATTCTCTAAAATTGGGAAATGTTCTGAAAGGGTTGCTGACCGTTTATCTGCTTTGGTGGAGGCAGATCTTGGGTTAATTTGAAGGATCTTGGGTTTGGTGCAACCCTAGACCCTGAAACTTGAGCTAGAAAAACAATTATACCAAGGCCAATAACAATAACTATTACTATTGAACATCACAGAAACGACGACAACAGGTGCAACTCAAAATAAATTTAACAAACAACATCCGCTAGAACAATTACAGAATACCTTAAAGTGATATCTATAGTGATACGAGCTTAGGGTTTGGATCATGATATCTTGAGTTCTATTCTTTCCGTGGAGGTGTTGAACTTCTTTCTTGTTAAACTAACTATAAAACACAAAATTTAATGTGAAAAAATTAGCACCACCAATAAGAACACGGCGATCAAAATTAGCAGCAAGAATGACAGCAACACTATGCATTTACGCTAGTAGCAAGAATGAGCAACACTAATGCATTGACGCTAGGAACAGTTACAAACTGTTTTTGACGCTAATAACAATTAAAACATTAAAAAGGGTGATTAACGGAAATATGGGAGCAACTACCAGTAATATTAACGGAAGCAACTGCCTTTTGGGGTCAGGTTAACAAAAGTAACATCATGAACATTAAATAAAGGGTGAGGTTTGCATTTAAACAATCCAATTAAGGGGCACCTCTAAACTTTATCATAAATATAAGTTTGATATAAATTTTTTTCAAATGGACGGTTCAGATAATGTGCTGCAAGAGACTATTTTTTGGACCCGAAATATTTTTTTCTTTTCATATTCATGCATCTCGATGTCGAGATGATCAATGAGAGGGTTTTCCAACATCCAAACAACCTTTTATAATGGATTTTTTAGGTACACCTTTAATTATACATTTTAAGGTTGCAACCTTATACAAACTTTTTCCTTTTCCTTAAATAAAACAGGAACAGCAGCTAAACCAGAAGCAAAAATCGACACTACCATATTAACAATCGAATCTTGAAAAGAAGTACAAGTGCCAGAAGGTCGAGCCAAAATCGAATGCTTCATAGCACCAAAAAGTTGAATGTCAAAAGAAGTAAATAAAAACATTAGGAATTACCAAGGGCAAAGTTATAATTATCTAAGTTTTTATATAGTTTAGATATATTAACAAAAAGGCTAAAATGTACTGAATTCGTCTTTTTATGTTCCCCTTTATCCAACCATCTATTTTTTAATGGAGGGTTAAGATTGTCCCAATCACAATGTCACGTCTTTATACTGTTTTATTTTTAATTTTTTTTTCTATGAACTGTTTTGACATCAAATTTGGACGTCCATTCCTATACTAAACTCGCACTAACGAAAAATATAAAAAAAATATTTTCAATAAATAAAATGACCAAAATACCCCTGAAAGTTTAAAGGGGTATTTTGGTCATTAGTTTTTATCGAAAATTTATTGTTAATATTTTTTATAGGGGTGCCCCAATGAGAAGATAGCACGTACCAAATTTTATATTCAAAAAGTTTTTATTAGAAAAACTAAAAATAAATTACTTTGAGACATCGGATCTAAGATCAAACGGTGAGTGGCTCTCTCGATAAAAAATGGACGGCTGGATAGTAGGGGAAACATAGAACTTCTACGTTGTAGGGGGAACGTAGAAAGCTTTTCCAAAGTATAATATCTGAATAACAATTGTTTCATGTGGGCTGGACTGCATTTCTACAATATGCGGTCTAGAGGTAAAAAGCATCCATCTTAAAGATGGATGCAATAGGAAGTCCATCTAAAAACAATTGGAAATAACAATTCAAATGTTTTCTTAATACAATTATTATTTCCAGTTTTCATTTTTTTTTTTTTTCATTTTCATGATCTCCATGTTAAAGATTATATATTCTTTAAAAATTAGGATAAAATTATATTTAAAAAACATATTTATTGCCAAGGCCACATTTCTACATGTGATGGCTTGGTCGAATGCTAATTGCGTCCATATCTAAAACAAGGTAATCATACTTTGGGAAGAATGTATTCTCTATCATATCTTTGTATATTTGATGATTATTTTTGGATGCATGGAAATGCATTTCCAAAAATGTTTTTATGTAGAGATGTGAAAGAAAGACCTATGTGATCTTTTACCGGGGAATATATTTTTTATTTTTATTTTTATTTTTATTTTTCTTCACCTCTTTCTTTTTGGCAAAAGATAACTTACAGATGGTCTTTATTACATTAAGAT